GACTGGCTTCGGTAACGTCATGCGGTTAATGAAGCGGTGCCAGAGGGGCGGAGACCGCCGAAGGCAGGAGTCTAATCGCTTGAATCCGAAGTAAGGACAACTCGGCATCAGCGGCGAGGCCTGAGCAGAGCGGGTCCCCTCTGCAGGCGCCCAGGAGAGCTGCTCGGCACCCGCCCTCGCCCCCACTGGGGAGTGACAACCAGTGCAGCAGGAGCTGGCTTGGCTTTGGTTGGGTTCGGGTGCTGCCAGCATCCTGGCCTCAGCTGGAGAAGTCCTTAGGTAGAGCTTTTGCTGGTTTAGAAGAAATGGATCCCTCTGTCACAGAGTCTTTAAGGTGGGAAAAGACCTTTAAGGTCGATGAACCCAACGCTGCCATGACCACTAAACCTTCTGCTTGCCCTGGGGCCATTCCTGGAGGTGCTGCTGACTCAGAGGTGGGTGCAGCACCATAATCCTCCCGTGACAGCCCTGGGTGGGCATGCAGCTGCAAACCAGTCCAGCAGCCCAGTTATACCAGTGGTGGTGGTGGCTGCATGTGGTCTGGGTGTGGGAGTAGCTGGGGAGGAGTAAACATCCCAGTGACTACACAGAGACCTTCCCAAGCAGGCTGGGATGAAATGCTGCCCCAGGGTGTGGTCCAGGCAGTGTTGTGGTAAGAGCCGAGCTGGTTTTATTTAGCTTAGAAGGAATGTTTCCACCTTTGCATCCTGGAAGTGGAAGGAGTTTTGCTGCCTCATCAGCCAGCCTGAGACTCTCCATCCAGCCCAGCTGGGAAGTCTTGTCCCCATAGAGTGGGTCAGGCTGTTTTTTTTCCTCATTAAAGACAGATTTTCACTGTTCAGACCCCTTTGTGCTGTTGTGCTTTTCTCTTCCCTAAAGAGAAGACAACAACATGACCTTAAAGCTTCTGGTGTTGTTGCCAGCTGCTGGCCCTGGTGATTCCTGCCTCCTCCTGATAACTGTGCAATTTCCTGGCCCCTGACTTGTACAGTGTGCTGATCAGAATCCATAAAGACTATTTTAGATCCAGCCTCTTCAAGCTTGTGTTGGAGTTTTGGGGTTTTGGGGTTTATTTTTCCATGCTCTTGAGTCATAAAACACCTCATTGTTTTTTCCCTGCCATGGTTAACATGCTGCAAGCTCCTCACCCCCAAGGCTCCTTCATTTATCCTGCAGCTTTTCTGACCAGGTGATAGGTTTAGGATCTGCTCTGGAGCTCCAGTGACATCTTTCCTGAGTTGACTTTGATTTGTCCTGAAAATACCTCTTAATTTTTCAGTCACCTCCACAGCCCTGCCCCCCCAGTGTCCCCCCTTCTCCTCTGGCTTTGTGCAGAACTCCTCTCTCTCTCTGTCTGGAGTTCAAAGGGCAGGGTCTGCACCAGGGCTGGGTTTTTTTGGGTTGATGTTGTGCTGAGCTGTTGGTGAGGAGCTCTCCAGTTTCTCCCCTTCCCTCCTGCAGTGTCCTCAAGCAGTGCAAAGATGTGGAGCTCTCCTTCAGCGACGTCCCGGGCAAGCCTGAGGCCTTCAGAGGCACCAAGAAGGGGGTGCTGTACCTCACCCCCTACAGGGTAAGGGCTGCTGCTCCCTCAGGGCACCTCGTGGGCTTTAGCCCAGGGACCTGGCTGCTGTTAGAGGGAGTGGTTTTGTGGGAGGGACTGCTGGGAGCACTGGGGGAGGTGGAAATTGGAGGGTTGGTGCCTCTGTCCCAATCCCAACTCTACAAAGGCTCGTGCAGCCCTGGGAACCACTGCTGGGAGAAGATATTTCATATAATATGTCAGTATAACACCCCACTGAGCACTCAACCAGCAATTCAGCTGCTCTCTGCACCCTTGCTGTCTAACCCAGAGGCTTCTCCTGTCCTGCAGATGATCTTTGTGGCCAAGGGCAAGGACCCTCTGCAGTCTTTCATGATGCCCTTCTACCTGGTGAAGGGCTGCTCCATTGAGCAGCCTGTCTTCTCTGCCAACTACATCAAAGGGCAGATCCAGGCTGAGGCAGGAGGTGAGTGTCTGTTCTGGGCAGCCCCAACCCTGCCTGGGTGCCACGGGTCCTGTTCTGCTGAGCACCAGGGGGAGGGTTGGTTGGGCAGAGAGGTGGGGGAGTAGCTGTGGCACCTCCAGGCTGAGCTCACCCCTGTCCTCTGAACTTCAACACACTCCTGCTGTGGTTTCCTGGAGCTTCTGCCTTGCTCTTGTGTGACATGTTTACTGGCTGTCTGCATCTGCTTGGGTTTTTTTGCCCTGGGAGGGTGAGGAAGTGACCAGGTCACTAATTATTGCTATTGATGGACAGAATTACACCCAAGGGATTGAAACCCAGGCTTCTGGTTTGGATTTCCTCCCTTTTCAGCCCTGGAATTGGTTTCTGTGCATCTTGGTGGCATCTGGAGAGCTTCTGCTTTTGTCTTTCTGTTTGTAACACAGTTTTAAAGGGATTGGATCCTCTGCAGATCCAATTTTTCCAATGATCAGCCCATTTTTTGGGGCTGAAGTCATACCAGGAGAGGGGTTTTAAAGAACTGCATCTCCAAGGGGGTGACTTTATCCATGGTGGGTTGTTTTGCTGTATTTATCTACTCTGCCCCCAAAAGATTATTTACTTTTAGTAACTTCATTGTCAGATGAGGAAGATAAATCTTATTTTATGAAATCTTTTATTTAAGTGGCATTTTTTTCTAAAAATACCAAAACTCACCAAAAAAAGCCCCTACAAAACACAGCACTCTTACATTTAACTTGCAATATTATCACCTGCTTGATTATTTCCCCAAAAATTGCTGTTATACCTCAGCATTTATAATCTGCCTGAGCTCCTGGGGGCCAAGGAGATTAAAAATGTTGCATTTGGTTTAAATCCCAGCCTGAGGTGCAGATTCTGAGCTGCAGAGCACTGAGGTCAGCAGTAAAACTTCATTTCAGGGCTTTGAGTTAAAATCTTCCTGAGTGAATTGTTCTTTCTTTCCACTGTGCTCCTGATGAGGTTTTGTTAAACCTTTCAGGAAAGAACAGAACAAGGTAGTGCCTAGAGGAAGCTGCTTCTGCATAACTGTGGTGGGGATTGTCTTTTAAAAGGTAAAGAAAAACCCTTTAAAAGGTATTTAGAAAGAAATAAAGAATTCCTGAGGCACTGTTCTGGGGGGCATCTGATGGCAACACCATGACCCTTGGCAATAGGGTGCAAAATACTTCTGGAATAAAGAAGAAAAAGCCTGATTTGAGTCTGAACTGTTGTGCTGACTGCTCCTGATGAGGTTAATCACCTTTCACTTCTCTTCCCTCTCTCCCCTAGGTGGCTGGGAGGGGCAGGGGACATTCAAACTGACCTTCAACAGTGGAGGAGCCATTGAGTTTGGCCAGCTGATGTTCAAAGCTGCCTCCAATGGTAAGAGATCCTCCATCCTGCAGCTAGCTGGGGAGCAGTGGCCTTTTGGAACTCCCTGGGGAGGAGGATGCCCTCTGCACTCCACAGTGCTGCATATTTTTTCCTCTTTCCAGGGAAACTTTTGTTTTCCCTTCAGTCCTTTGACTTTATTTCACCTCAGTGCATTTTGCAGTCAGGAGTGTTGTGGGGTTTGTGCTTCTGTTTGTACAGAGCCTTGTTCTTCCTGGAATAAAGCTGAAACATGAGATGGTGAAAAATTGATCCATTTCCCTACCCTCAGCTCAGTTCTACCCCGTGTAGTAACATGGGCAAAGTTATTGAAGAGAGGCTAAAATAAATCTTAAAAAACAACTTCTATTTAAAATTTTCAAGTGGAGTGAAAACATACTTGATTTTTTTTTTCTGATAAAGTGTTCTTTTTCATTAAATGTGCATTTAAAAACATTCTTTTCCTGATGAGAAGGTTTTAAAGGAAGGAGGAACCACCCTACTGATATTTTTTTTTTATAAAGCTCTTTTCTCCCAGCAGTGGGAGCTCTGGGATGGGGCTGGGACCTGTTGGTTGGGATTTCTGCAGCTGGTTTCCTGCAGCACCCTGGGAATTGGCTTTTCAAGGACTCTCTAGTGAATTTAGATGAAGGGAAGTGTTGCTGCATGGATGGGACTTCTCTTTAACCCAAACAGCTGACTAATCCTGTGCTCCTCAGCTTCCAGTGGCGTGCCCCTCCAGAACCCTGGCTTTGGCTACACACCCGTGCCTGGAGGATACCCCCCTGCTCCTGGGGGTTACCCCCCTGCCCCGGGGGGCTACGCTGCCCCTCCACCACCCAACGGGCCCTATCCTTACCCACCACCCCCAGCCAATGCCTATGGACCCTGCCC